TGTTATTTTCCTCTATTTCTTTGCATTGTTCATTTAAGAAGGCCCTCTTGTCTCTCCTTGCTATTCTTTGGAAATCTGCATTCAGTTTTCTGTTGTGCAGAATACCTTTAGCTAAATCCAGTTGCATGTTATTTTATGTCTAATGGGTGTCATGCAGTTTGGACTGACATTGGATTTCAGATTTAGCTCTTTTTTCTTCAGTGTTTGAAGGTCTTTGTTTTGGCATAAATTTGAAGAGAAAGTTACAAAAACCATACATACTTACACTTTGGAGCAACAAAGTCATTAATGTTTTCTCTTTCACTCCTAGTGTGATCTGCATCCACTGTTGTCATTGGGCCGGTGCAAGATCCACTAAGCTGCCACTTATGCATTTTCAGAGTATATGTGAGGGTTGTATCCACACAGTTTCTCTTGCATGCACATGTGCACACACGCACACGCACACGCACACACACACACACACACACACACACACACACACACACACACACACACATGTATATATATTAAAAGTTCCAAGTTACTTCATGCAGACTGGTTTGGTCTTTATAGATGAACCATTATTTATTTCATGAGGTAATAAGGAGACAATTATTTTGAAACCATTTTGCTGATTTGTGTTTTAAGATAAAAAAAGATTCCAGCTTCCAAATAATTTGTAAATGTGACCTTTACTATGCAACCATGATCACCTTTGTATGTGTAGATTCTGTGTTTCAGTGAAAGAACTTAAGCTGTACTTCTTGTCAGAAATAAATTCTATTTTGAATCACCTTGGTTGTTACTAAATTTCAAAGACAATGTATCAGAATATATATAGTAAAGTGTTTAGAACTTTTATGTGTTCTTCAAAGTCAGTGAAAACATTTTGCTTTTGTAGTGATTCAGGACAGGTGTTATGTTTGTATGCAGAGAAGCACTGGGGAATGGAAATTGGTGGAAAATTATTTTTTCTGCTCTTCCTCTATGTAAGCAGTCTTTTGCAGAGAAAGACAGGAGATAGGTAGTTTCCCTGTGCAGCTTTTAACTTCTGTTCTAGTCATTACACTCTTATCCGTGAGGGAGAATTCTGTCTGTACAGTACTTCAGACTATATTGCACCCAACTGTTACGTATTAACTGTATTAAAAATTATGCCCATGATTTTTTATTCGTCTTTTCTTTCCTGTGTTATACACTGAGGTACGGTTGTGTACAATATATGGCCACTAGATGTCACCACTTAGCTTATTCCTTGTTGTTGTTGTTGTTGTTGTTGTTGTTGTTGTTGTTGTTGTTGTTGTTGTTGTTGTTGTTGTTGTTGTTAAGTCGTGTCTGACTCTTCGTGACCCCATGGACCAGAGCACGCCAGGCGCTCATGTCTTCCACTGCCTCCCAGAGTTTGGTCAGATTCATGTCGGTAGCTTTGATGACACTGTCCAACCATCTCGTGCTCTGTCATCCCCTTCTTCTCTTGCCCTTACAGTAGCTATATAAAGCATGAGCAAGGTGTGTACCATCATTAGCAAGGTGTGCACCATCTTTTGATGCCAAATGATAGCTTTTGGTTTCTTCACATGTAGCTGAATGAATGCATCTCAACAGCAACCCATAGAGTCTTGCAGGGCATTTTCTGGTGCTGTTTGCTTCACAGAAGATCTAGACCTATTTTTGGAAAACGTAATTCTCTTTCAGAGTCTGATTTTGTGCTGAACTTTCAGCTACTTGTATAGTGGTGCCATCATGTCAGCTAGCCACTTGAAATATCATTGAATAATGTTAGTTAAGACATTCTTTGGAGTGCATGCAATATGTTACCTTAAGTATGGTTTTCAGACATCATTCAAGGTATTTTTTTTTCTGATGTCATACACAGTATATGGTATTGGTTCCTTTGCTCCTCAGATATCAACCAGAAAGACGATATAGACCAGGAACTGCAGCCATGATGCTAATATTTCCTTTAGTCTTAGAACGATGTTCTAATGAGATACATGTAGATTCTTCTCTGGGGTGGAGACTATGTTCCTGCCTGTACCCCTGCATTTCCTTTTAAACTGGAAATTTCTCAAAAAGCATAATCTAAAGAAGGGCATATCTTTTTTAAAAAAATCAACTTTAAGATACATATTTTTCCTTGATATTGTGGTAGTTCCTTGTCCCCAAGAACAAAGTACATTTTTTGTAATGGAGTATGTTGTGGAGGTGTATGCTATATGACATCATGAGAATCCCCCCCCCCTCAAAAGGAAAAGGGATTACTTATGAGCTGCTGATGCTTCGTATATGGCAAATACTGTATATCATTGTTGATATAACACAAAGAAATGCTATGTTACGTTAGCTTTCTCTTTTAATAAGTTAATCAACTAATTGATTTATTATTATGTGTAAACACCTTCAGAATGTGAATTAGGATAAAAGATGGAACATGAGTGATTGACCCTAAAGAGACTTCTCCAATATTGAGAATCCTTGACCATAACCTGTGACAAAAGTTTTGAAGTATACATACCACCAATGTTGATCTATTGCAAAATTAATTTTGAGAGTACCATATGTTACACTGACTTGATCCTTCACCTGCTTCTGTTATTCATTTAGTAGTTGTTCCCCTTTCTGGTATGATTCTGAACTCTAGGTAATGATTTGATACGCTGCTCTGCCATCTTGTCTTGTGGAGGTACTTCTGAATGCTAGGTTACTCCACAATAAAACATGAACTATTCAGGATTTAATTCTGGACAACATGTATTACCAAGACTCGGGTAAGCTGGGTCCATATAACCAAATAAATCCACATTGAAAAAGACACTCATGGCTTTATCAAGGGAACAGCTGCAAATTCTCTTTTTTAAGTAGTATACTGCTATGAGGTTCAGTTCATTTACTGTTCTTTCTTGCTTATGATTTGGATTCTAGCCTGAGTATCTCCATAAAGTAGCTGCTTACTCAATGAAGGTTTATAGAGTTCTTAGTCAATTGCTGAGTTTTCTTTCATTCTGTAAATAAGCAGAGCGGGCAGATTAGGAACTTTTCTGGTCCAACTCCCTGTGTGGATTGCAGAGAAACATTGATGTAATTCTGTGTTTGCTCTTAGGCAGAGGCTGCTCCAGGCAGTCTTGGATTCGCCACCAGTTTCGCCTCCAGCAATGTTTACCAAAAAGGCTGCTGTCCAAAGCCGTGTTCCAAGTTCCCCAGTTGTTCCTGCTCTGGAATGGCAAAAACAGTTTAAAGATGCTATTTTTTCCAAAGAAAATATTCACACACCAAAACGACACTTGAAGCTACCTGAAAGAGAAGATAAAAAGATCAAAATAAAGCAGGAAGAGACTCCATGGGGTTCTGAAGAGGCCCACGAGACCACTGACCAAGGGGCAGCAAACTTGACAGGAGGAACCAAAAATCCTGAAACACCTTCTACATCGGCAACAAAAGTTATCATGAAGGGTAATGTTTCATCTTTTATTCTGTAGTTCTTACATGACAATAGGTATTGATGTTGCAGGTCATCTTGCAGTGATTGCAACTATTTTGGGCATTTTGGGGTTGCTTTTGTATATGCTATTTGCTGTGTAGGCCATTTTTTTGTTGGCAATATTTTGCCCATCCGTTTCCACATTGACTTCAAAGTGTTAATGATTATATATAAAGCCCTAAGCGGTTTGGGACCTCAATATTTGGCAGATCGTCTTCTCCCACCCAGATCTACCCAAATCACCCGACACAGCCAGCAGGGATGGCTGAGGGGCCTGACGCCGAGAGAGGCCCGGAAAGAAAAAACAAGAACCCGGGCCTTCTCGGCAGTGGCCCCTCGGCTGTGAAACACTCTCCCTACTGAAATTCAGGTGGCACCCTCTCTGGGTGTTTTCAAAAACCAGTTGAAAACTTGGTTATTTAAACAGGACTTCCCTCCAGTCAATTAAGTGGTGTTTTTTGCTTTCCCTTTCTTTTCTTCTCTTTTGTTGAGCAATGCCATCTTGGAAACATGCTGTTTTTTAATTAATTGTTATTATTGTATTTTTATATGTGTCAATTTGAAGTGCTTTTATCTATGTTAGCTGCCCCGAGTACAAAATGTCTAGAGGGGTGGGGTAAAAATCAATCAATCAAACAAACAAACAAATAAATAAATAAAGATGCGTAAAGCACTGAGCTATCTAGCAAGATGTACTTTAAACTTAATTCAGGTGTCATGTATTCTCGAGTTTGCTTGCATATTCATGAAATATAACCATTACCTTGCAATCTTAAAACCATAGTTACTTGGTTTTTTTCTCCACGAGATTAACTACTGAAGGATCCCGAATTATCGGGAACAACTGTCTCTTTACATTTCACTGTGTGAAGTAAATAATCACCCAAGTTCCCACGTCATGTGATGTGTAATTGGCTCTTAGATTTGTAGAAGTTCAGTGGAAGGACAGTAATTGCTAAAACAGAGCTCATGCAAAGTAGTAGTCTTGGGATTTACTATTTAGGGTCCAGGAGCCCGTGATCGTGTGCCAGAATGAGGTCTCACCTGGGCATTAGTGTTGCCTCCTTTCTCCATCCTGTCACAAGTGTCTGACTTAATTTTTTTTATTTGATGAGCTGTGGTCATAAGCAAACTAGTTCTAACAAAGTACTGTATAACATATAAAGTCCAAATCTTATGAATGAGAGCCAAATGTAAGCTGAAATGTTTTCGTGTTTATGGTGTTCTTGTTCAGCTGTGGTATGCTGATTCTCAAGTTCTTTTGCATTGGAATGCCTTATAGGGAAACTTAACTTCACATTCAAGTCAATGATTGAAATGTTTGTGTCATGAAGGTGAGCTTATTGGAACAAGGAGGTTGGATTTGCTGCCAAGTTTTTAGATTTTACATTTAAAAATTGCCTGTTCTCTGCCAGTGCGACAGAGTTTGTGAATTCTTTCCAGCTTGGGCATTTTAAAATGTAAGCATACCCAGTGGTTTATTGTGGTTTTGACATAGCTTTCATCTGGACAAACCTTGCCTCTCTCTTGCCTTATGCAGTTTTCCTTCTTCCTCCTACGAGGAGAAGAGTTGAAACTATTTTTCTCACCTTCAGTTTAATATGCCATCCAAGCTACGATTTCAGAACTTAAAATATAAAACTTCCAGAACCCTTGACCATAGGGCATAGTGATTAAGGCTTCTGACATTTGAACTCCAGGAACAATGGCAGTGTGTGTGTGTGGGGGGGTCATATTTGGAAATGGTTGCCTTAAATTGTGTTAAGTTTAGTTATAGTTAATGGAAACAATTTATCTTCATTGAATTACTGTTGTTATGTGCTGTCAAGTTGCTTCTGTCTTATGGTGACCCCATGAATAAGTGATTTCCAAAATGTCCTGTCCTCAAGTCTCAAGCCTATGGCTTCCTTTAAAGAGTCAATCCATCTCATATTTGGTCTTTTTCTTTTCCTGCTGCCTTCAACCTTTCCTAGCATTAGGGTAGATAAAAATCAGTGATATTTTAAAATCAAACGTATTTAAATTAGAAAAAAAATGATTTAAAAAATTTTAAATTATCAAAACATCAGATTTTTAAATTTAGATTGTGATCTAAATGTGCTAAAAATCAATTTGATTCAAATCAAATCCACCCTGACCATCATTATTGTCTTTTCCAAGAATCCTGCATTTTCATGATGTGCTGAAAGTAACACAGCCTCAATTTCATCATTTTTGCCTCACAGGATTGTTCAGGCTTGATTTGCTCTAGAACCTACTTGTTTGTTTTTCTGGCAGTCCAAGGTATCTCCAAGCAAAGCTCTCCTCTGGCACCACAATTTCTACTGAATCTTTTCTCCCCCTGTCCTTTTATTTTTTTTTTAACTGAAATACAAGAGTGTGGATGGTCTTGGTCTTGGTGGCCAGTGACACATCCTTATACTTGTTGGTCTTTTATAGTTCCTTCATTGCTGCCCTTCCTAGTTTCAAGTCTTCTGATTTCTTGGCTGCAGTCTCCATTTGAATTGATGATTGAACCAATGTATACAAAACCTCTTAACTATTTTTTGTCATTGCTGCTTTCTCTATGGAATAAATGGTTCATGCTATCCTTAAATTCCTGCTCAGTGTGACATCCTTTTCCTTCTTGGGTCTTCAACAAAGGCAATAAGATGCCCATCAGGTGATAACAGCTGAAAGAGTTCTCTAGTATTTCTTTTATGGTCAATCATTTTTTTTCATTTAAAAATTGATTTTGATGGAGCGTTAGATAAGAGTGGTCCCTTTGCAATTTAAGTCTCCTTTATTCTATAGCAACTTCTTCTGGGGCGATCTTTTTAAATTATCAGTAATGGAGACTTTATAGTCATGATATTGGTGTTTTTCATATAGACTTAATGGCTATTTTAGTGGCTGTTCTAAAATGCAGGGATAGAAGAGTCAATTTGTCTAGGCTACATGTTGTGAATGGAGGTATAAAAGGAAAATGTAATGATAGCCTTCATAGAGTTGCTTATATCTTTGTTTGGACTTCGTAGGTTGTGAAATAAAACAGCATCACATAAATGAATTTGGTGCTCTTACTGTGTTTTGCACTTGTATTTATCAAATCTAACTGCCTAACATGATAGGATATCCTGAATTCCTAGTGACATTTCAATGTTCTTCTGGTCTGCCATGCCAATGAAAAACAACCAGTTCATTCCCTGGTCAGTCTTGAAGTATATGTAGGTGATTATTCTAAAATAAAAAAAATTGGAAAAAGGGCATGTGGTCCCTCCAAAAAACAAAAGAAAACAAACAAACAAACAAACACAGAAGCAGGCAATGCCTTTATTGGACCACTGAGAAAAATCAAGTAGATAGTTAGCTTTCAGTGGTAATTCATCTGCACCCTCTTTGCAGATATGGGAACATCTCTAGCAATATATGGTCTTAAATGTATTCCATTTTATAAACTTCTTCCTTAACATCTGGAAGTGCAGTGCTATCTGTTTGCTTACTAGATATAAGTCCTAACAGTATTCAGTACTGTAGAGCTTACTTCCAAATAAATGTGCTTGGGCTTGCAATACACAACATTCCTATGGGCATTTAACTTCAGATTAAATCTCATGATCTTTGTAGAAGCAAAAGTGGACAGAGGGAGCTGTATTCAGCATTTGATGTTGGTAGGCTAGTGAAGAAGGAGGAGGAGATTTACTTTGGAATAAATGTTGCAATTATTCTGCAAAAGCTTTTATTTAATTGTGGCTCCTTTGTGAAAACTCCTAAGCCCTCTGCCCACATAGGAACCCAGGCAAAAGTTGTTGTTTCTAGTTCTGTAACATAGCATTAATTAGAACTATATCTGACAAACAAAAAAACCAAACATAATTTACATAAAAATCTGATGTTGGGATTATTTAAATAAAAATGTTTACATTTAAATAATGATTTAAATCAATTTTATCTCCCTGTAAATTTTACATATACCGTGTTCCCCTGCAAATAAGCCCTAGTATGATTTTTCAAGATGATTGTAATATAAGCCCTACCCCAAAAATAAACCCTAGTTAAGTGAAATCAAGGATTCAGTTGAATCCTCCAAGCCCTCGAGAGAGACTTAAAACTTCTTTTAACCCTCCTCTCGTTCGGTGCTGCCGGCAGGGGCACTGCCGTGTTGAAGCCGCTGCCACCCTCTCCTCAACCAAGCTCGCTGGTTTCAGGCCCCCCCCACCCTCCACACCAATGCCACCCCATCCACTGCCAATGCCACTGTCATTTTCTGCAAAATGAACACAGCACCTGCCAGTCCCAACAGGAGCCTCAGCCCAGGCACCGCCGCTGGAGGAACCTGAGCCACCGCCATGGCAACTCCCAGCAGCAGTGGCGGGGGCACCCCTGGAGGAAGTGGCATCAGGGACGTTTAAAGAAGGGGAAGGAGAACGGAAAGGGAGGGCTTGAGAAAGAGTTAAAAAGAAGCCGAACAGCCAGGGGGTTGGAATGATGGGAGGCATGAAGGGGGGAGGACAGGAAAGACAAGGCTGGGAGCTCCCGCGCTCAATCTCATATGCACTCCCACGGGTTGAAAAGAGGACTTGGCCAAGCTGGGAGAAAGAGAAAGGGAATGTGTGGTTCTGATAAGTGGAGCTTGTGAGGTCTGGCCGCAGCACCCAGAGGGTGCCCCTCCCATAAATGAAGAAGAGGTCTGCCAGTTTCCCCTTCTGGGTGAGCATCCATCAGCCATAGCTGTGTTGGCACCTTGCGTGGTGCCTGCCAAGTGACTGACCCACAATGGGTGCCCTTTCTGCCTCTCTTCCTCACCTCTCTCCCCCACCCTGTGCCACGACCATCTCAGGTCGCTATGCGAGGCACCACTGTATGTGCCTGATCTCAAACTCATCTCCACAGGTATTAAGGCTTCCATTGTGGTCACATGTGGAAGAAGTGGGACAGGTTGTCTGCCTGCCTCCCACCCAGCTTGCTGTGTGTCATCTGCCAGCTAACCAGTGGCAGAGCCGCTTCAGTACACA